TAGGCATGCAGGGATGGTGGGTGAGACAGGTGGTCAGGAGCCCTGCTGAAGTTTGAGCAGAGACTGAAGGGAGTGAGCTTTGGGGACACTGGGGCAAGTGTTCTGACAGAGGGACCAGTGAGTGCAAAGGCCCTGAGGTGTGAACCTGTACCCTGAGGGACTGGTGTGAAGGAGGGGCCCCCTTGGAGATAACACAGGGGCCTGAAGCCAAGTGGGGAGGGGGGTGGTGGTCAGAGTAAAGATCGGTGGTGGTGGTGGGAGACAGGAGAGCCCACGGGGCATCGTGAGGACTTTGGCTCTTTAAAACATTTTAAATTATGTATAAGAGGGGAGAGGGAGAGGCAAGTCCAGGTCAGGGTGCAGGGGCTGGAGTGACGGCAGCATCTAGAGAAGGGAAGGCCAGGGAGGGGACCAGCAGGAAGCAAGCTCTGAGACCCAGGAACAGGTAGGGTGTCAGGATGGGGGATTAGCAGGAGAAACAGCCCTGTTCCAATTCAGTCACATTCTTTGCTCCATAGAGTCCTTGAACACCTGCTCTGCTCACGGCCCTGGGCAGGCTGATGTTGGGACTCAGGGTGCAGAGTCACCCTGACCCCCCACGGCTTCCAGTCCAGAGGCAGCAGCTACCAGTGACAGTGACAGCCCAGAGTGGTCAGGGTGGGGTGGGGGAGGCCCAGGGAACTGTGGGAGCCCAGGGGTGCTCGGTGCTGCGTGCTGGGGTTATCTATGGGGGTTTTCTGACGTGTGAGATGAGGAGGAATGCCTTGGGCCAAGAGGGAAAGAGGTGCTCTGGGCATAGGGAACAGCATGTACAAAGGAGGCAAGAGGCCAAGGACCAAGTGAGGAGGGGAGGAGAGTGGGAGTGAGGTTTGGTCTGTGAGGGCATCATGTGCTTGGTACAGTGGGGCCCTGGCAGGGGTAACCAGGTCATGGTCACTAGGCGTGAACCTTGGGTAAACTGGGTGAGGGACTTCACAAGGACCAAGCGGCCCTGGCAGGACCCACATCAGGCACCACAGAACACAGAGCTCACAAAAGTGGTCAGAGGAAGCCGACAGCAGGAATTCCAGAGACGCTTCACCTCCTCTGCCTGCCTGGGTTTCCTATGGCCCCGGGCACAGCAGCTCTACCCCACCCCCACCCCACCCCCGAGGGCAGATGAAGGCCAGAGGTCACACCACCAGGATGAGGGGGCAGCCTCTTCTTTCCCCCAAGACTTTCCATGGCACCCAGACAAGGCACAGGTCGCAACGGCACTTGATAATTATCCTCAAACTGTTTATCTGGACCTGCGGCACATGGAGGGGTCACCCTGCAACCTTGAGTCCCAGAGCGTTATCTGTGACCTGGGAGAACCAGTGTTTGCAGCTTTTAGATGCCTGCTTAGGTTCCTCATCAGAGATGCTTTCTAAACTTCAGAAATCACCCCTGATGTGGAGTATAAAGAAACTGACCCCATATGGAACTGACAAGAATGCTTTGCTACACAGAAAACTTCTTCAGGGTCCATTAGCAGAAATTCTGCGTTTAAAGGAGTAACACTGACACAGTTGGTATGTGCCAGACAGTCCTAAGTGCTCTACATTGGACATCTTCACACAACCTTATGGGGTCAGGGCTGTCATAGTTCCCCTTTGACAGATGAGGAAACTGAGGCCCATAGCAACACAGCTGGGTTGAGGCAGAGCTGGGAACAGGTCCTGGGCTCCCTGAGGAGTCAGGGTGGGTGCCATACTGAGGTGGGGTTCCTGGCAGCCCAGGCTCAGAGGCAGCCTCCCCCTAGGCTTCCACCTCAACAACCAGCTGACCCAGGCCCTTACTAGCCGCTACCGGGACAGCCGTCTGCGTGTGGACTTGGAGCGCTTTGTGTCCTGTGTGGCCCAGCTTACCTGCATCTTCTGTGAGTGCCATGCCTAGCACGCGTTGGGGCACAGGGAGCATGTCTCCCACAGCCGGGGACTGGGGTGGTGGGCACTCACCTGGCCCTCCCTGCACAGGCCACTGTAGCCAGCACTTGGATGGGGGCGAGGGAGTCATCTGCCTGACCCGCCAACAGGTGAGCCTGGGCTGGAGGGAGAGTGGCACCGGGCAGCTAAGGCAGGCGGCCCGAGAGACCCCTGCCTCAAGCCCACTCACTGTCTTCTCTCACCCAGTGGATGGAGATGGCCAACTTCTCCTAGGATCTTGGCAGGGGAGCGCCTGCGGCTGGAGGCAGGAGAGCTGCAGGAGCCCTGCCTTTCCCGGTCAGCCTGGACCAGGGTTTATTCCACAGTGAGGGGGTTCTGAGCCAAACCAGCCCCCCAGCCCCTCCACCTCCCTGCCTGGCACGGGGGCTGACGCTCTGACATCAGGCAGTGCTTCTGAGCATGGCCTTGGGAGCCGGTCTGCCACACACTCACCACCGGGTGACGCTGGGCAGGTCACTGCCCCTCTGAGCTTTGCTCTCCTCACCTGTGAACAGGGGTGATGGCGCGCCTTCTTGGGCAGCCACATGAGCTGGTCGATTGTGTGCTGAGCACAGTGCCTGCCCTGACCGGGTCCCCAACAGCGTTATTTTACACTCACGGAAACAGGGATGTGGCACCCCAGGCCCTGCCCTGCTCTGCGGAGAGGTGCTGTGTCACTGCCCTGCTAACAATCAGAGAACAGAGACTGGAGAGAGAGGATACTGCAACTCCTTCTTAAAAATATTAGGTTTATTATCCTGTCCCCAGAAGGGTGGTTTATCCAGAAACCAAGAAAAAAAATCAATCCAAATAAAACAAAAGGGAAATGGGAAAGGAACAAAACCATCAACTAACAGGCAGCCAGGCCAGCAGCCCACCCCCCACCTCAGGAGGGTCCCCGGAGACCCATGCCTGACGGCAGACAACAGAAAAATCAGTAAGGGGCTGGGGGAGGGGAGCAAATCAGCTATGTCTTCATTATGAGCAAGAGGCGGCAAAGATATGTTGCTAGGTGAATATATATTTATATAATAAATCCGTAACTTAATAAAGTAAATAGTAATTCTCTGAAAGGTTTAAATTTTTTATAGCTTTCTTTTTTTTGGTGATTTTGTGTGTTTTTTTGTTTTTTTGTTTTGGTTTTGGTCCTTAGAAGATCTGAGAGAGACCCAGGTCCAGACAAAGCCAGGTGTGAGCGGCTGGGGGCAGGGGTAGAAGGCTGGGTGCCCAATCCACTCCTCTGTTGCAGAAGGGGACACTGAGCTGCACTCCCCCACCTCCTGGCAATCGCAAAGGAGGGGAGGGGTAAAGGGAGCAGGGTGGGTCCTCTTTCCTACTGGGTAGCTGTGGTGCCCTCTGCTGGGCCCATCACAGGTGTGAGCAGTTCCTGGACAAGGCACATAGGGCTTTGGCCTAGATGTGGGAGGCCTTGAAGGGACCTCAGGGGGGAAAAAGGAAGGGGCAGGTTGTGGTGGGCATTCCTTGGGCCCGGAGGGGACCTGTTTTGCTGTGGGGACCCACTGTCCCCTCCACATGGTTAAAAACAACAACAAACCAATACATCATATATATTTACCAGACCAGAAGTGTTGACCCCCAAAAGTCTCCAGTACCCCTATCCAGGGGGAGCGGGAGAGAACCTCCTGGCCAACTGACAAAGAGAGAGGAGAGAGCCTGCCCCAGCCCCTCCCTGCCCACCCGCCCCACCCCCCAGAAAGGACTGACAGAGTGCTTTGCATAGATACAGAGTCAGAGGAACAGGACCAGGGAGGCCCCGCAGCAGGGAGAGGGGCTCTCCCAGCCCCTCCTGGAGGCTGTGAGGAGGGGGTGTTTGGTCAGGGCTCTCCGTGGGAGCCTCACAGGTCACTCTCGCCGTACAGGGCTGTAGAGAAGGACTTGTAGTCAAGGGCACCGGGCACCGCATCAGGGCCCTGGTACGGTGCCATGCGGGCAATGCAGTACTCGGCCTGGTCAGGGGGCAGCTCTCTCCGAAGCTCCTCGGCTGTGATGAAGTTCTGGGGAAGGCAGGGCGGGACTTTGGGCCACCTGCACCCCACACTGGCCCCCAGCCCCTCATGCCCAGTCCTGACTGCAGAGCCCCGTCGTGCTGGCCCCAGGTGCTCAGAGGTGTCTGGCTTACCTTGTCCCCAGCCAGGACTTTGAAGGAGGCGATGACCTGGTCGGCCGTGTCTGTGTCGGTAGTTTCCCTAGACATGAAGTCGATGAAGGCTTGGAAAGTCACGAGACCGCTGTGGTTGGGGTCGACGACGCTCATGATGCGGTTGAACTCAGCATCCCCCTGCGAGGCAGGAGTGGGGCAGGGGACAGGCAGCATTTGAGCGGGGCAGGATGGCTGGGCCGGGGCAGCAGAACCGAGCTAGGAGGGCAGGGTCCGACCCCAGTGCACACTCCAAGTTGTCAGCCTGCCTCCAAGGGCCTGGATTCCCCGGGCAACTGCCCCATGTGCCCCAGACAGGATGAGCGCCCTCTACTCTTCCCCTCCCACATTTTTGGGAAGTGGGGTATAGATCAAATAGGTCTGCTGCTCCTCAGCCCTAGGCTCACAAGTTAACTCTGGAGGGTGGGGAAGAAAGAAAAAGAGAAAGAAAAGGGGGAGAGCTGGAGGCCTGACCTCCTCTCTCACAGCCTCTCCTCACAGCCTCCAGGAGGGGCTGGGAGGCTCAGGGAGTCATTGGAGGGACCCCAGCCCAGCAGATGCAGCAGAAGGGGGGAGGTGAGGGCTGCACTGATCTGGTGGAGGGGGTGTCCCCTGAGGACCTGGAAACTCTAGATGGGGGTAGCACAAAAAGGAGGAGGAGGAAGGGGGAGGGAGGAGAGGAGGAGCAGGAGGAGGAGGAGCAGGAGGAGGAGGAGTGGCACAGCAGCGAGGGAGGCAGAGGCTGCATACCAGGCTGTATCCTGTGGAGATAAGCAGAGCCCTGAAGTCATCCGAGTCCATGCTGCCTGTCTGTTTCTGCTCGAGGACGCAGGGACAGCAGGAGGCCAGGACCACAGTAGGCAAGAGGGGCAGACCCATGTGCACAGCAGGGAAACAGGACAGTGGCAGGAGCAGGGGAGACCAAGGCGGCCCCAAGAGACCAGGTAAGGGGAAGGGGTCCAGAAAGACACAGGTAGGAAGGAGGCAAGAGAACCGGTGAGATGGTACACATAACGAAGAGGGGTGAAATGGCGAGGGTGGGGAGACAGAGAAGGAGAGAGAGAAAGAAGAGCAGTTAATGCCATGGTCCACTGGGGCCCAGGGGGCGCATACCTGCCGGTCATTCTCCACGTCGTAGCCACAGGCTGATGAGGCAGGCCTTGAATTCCTCTGGCCCCCAGCGCCCGCCGTGGTTCTGCCGGGTGTCCAAAGGCAGGTGTGCAAGGGGCGGGCCGGCACAGAGGTGGGAGAGGGGCCAGGGTTATATGCAGAGGGCCGGGGGATGGGGGAGACACACATGGAGAGGGAAACACAGAGTTAGAAGTGATGTGGACAAGGTGATGGCCAGGGACAGCTGGGGCAGGTGGAGGGGTGTGGGTGGTCTGGAGGACAGTCAGAGGCTTCTTCCCACGTCCTCGGGGCTAGAGCAGGGTGGGGAGTTGAATGGTGCAGAATCGAGGATTGAGTCCCAGGACTGGGGGGGGGGGGGGTACACTTTGCCTCCAGGGTCTGGGGTGGGAGAAAAGGGATTGCACTAAGGCGTCAGGGTCCTGCTTGATGGTGCAGGGCTGAGGCTGCACCCTCCTACCCACGGGTGAAAGCAGGCAGATGACACATCAGGCCCAGCAGTGGATAGGGACTGGGATCAACTCTGGCACTCAGGCCCTTCCAAAGGGGCTGCCAGACCGAATCTGAATTTGAAGAGCACTGTGTGTCTGCGTAAACCAGATTCACGGGTCAGGTCTCAACTCTCGGGTGTGCTGGGACTTAGTCTGTCCCGTGTCTCATGGGCAGGCTGGTGAGGAAGCACGGCCTGAGGCAGGGCTCAGGACCCCCCTTTTCTTCCCAAGGGAAACTGCTCGTGCTGTGGACACGGTGATGCACGTCTGCACCACCTTCTGTGGCTGAGGCCCTGACAAGCCCTGTGAGCGGCGGCTGATACGTAGCAACTGTGATGTGAATGAACTGACAGATGCAAAGAGAGAGGGGCAAAATGCGACAGTGACAATGGTGACAGCAGGGAGGGAAGGTGCCAGGGGCAGACGGAGTTGCTCACCTTGTCAAAGTGATTGAAGGATGCCCGGAACTCCTGCATCTGCTCCTGGCTGATGCCCTTGGCATCTCGGGTGAGGATTTGGTTCTCAACCTCGTTGATGGTGCGGGCTATGGTGGTGAGCAGCTGCTCCCAGCCCACTCGGATGTGCTGGGGGAGAAGGGAGGGCGTGACTGCAGGCCTGGCTGGTGGGAGTGCTTGGACCACCACAGCTGTAGCTGAGGGTCACTGGGAACTGGGTTCTCCCCGTATGGGAGGGCGTACAGCATGGCATGAGGCTCACCCTAACTTTCTCCCAAATGCCAGTCCAGGCCCATGCTCTCTCGTGCACCTCATTTGCACACAGGGACAGAGGCATGGTACTTACCTGTTGCCTCGGCTCACCAGCAGAGTTCATGTCACCTTAATATATATTTGGTGACAGGTGTAGCAGAGGGCCAGGGCCCAATACCTGTGCAAGGTCTATGTGAAAATTGGCAGAGATATGTTGGGCAAAGTTTAATTGGCTTTCTGGGGAGAAACACTCCCCGTTTTGTAGCATCTGCCATGTGCATGGTGTAAATACTGTCACCAAAGATGATTTCAAGCTACCAACGTGATGATAAGCAGCCCTGACAGTGTAACTCAGCCGCAGAGAGCTGGCGCACACAGATGCTGGCACACATTGGCTGCATCGGTGTTCTCAAGTGAGGACTCAGTGCTGAGGCCACAGCAGGGGCTGGTGCTACCCTCCCAGCTCTCTCAGGAGCTTGTCCTGAGATGTGTTGTCATGGTGTTGGGAGAACAGTGTTAGGAAAACAGTGATATTAAAAAATGTGTAAACATTTTGATCGAGTCTTTTCAGTCAGGATAAAAGAGACCAAGGAAGCTGCAGACGCCTTCCCTGCCAGACTACATAGGGCTCTTCCGTGCTATAGACGGGGTGCGGGGGCCTGATGGGGCACAGCGTACCTCCATGGTGTAGTTGGTGTGCTTGTTGTCGAAGATGAGGGCCTCCTGGATGAGCTGGTGCTGCTGCTCGAGCAGGTCCAGGTTTGGCTTGTAGTCCACAATGCTGAGCTCATACTGCTTCAGGTGGCTCAGCTGGTCCTCCAGGGTCCCGTTCATCTCGATGGAGATGCGCCCGATTTCCTGCACACAAGGCAGGTGCCACTGAGGGTGGGGCTGGCGGACCCTCGGCCACAACCAGCCACCCAGAGGAGATCTCTGTTTCTGGTGGCCTCCCTCCCAGGGTCCCTCCTCCTAAAAGGCCTATGCCTCAATGATGGTCCCTCCCTGCCCACCCTC